GTCCTTACTGCCAAACACCACACCTTAAATATTACAACGAGTTTCATCATAATAGTATGTTAGGATTTCGATTTGAATTCTATAACGATTTATGATGCATGATATCAATAATTTTAATCGATCATTTGGTTTGATGTAAAGTTACGAGAGAAATTATCTTATAACACAACCAGTAGAAGATCAATTCGTTTGTCAGTAGAATAGTAGTTCTTATTGTACAACCAGTAGAAGATTAATTCGTTTGTCAGTAGAATAGTAGTTCTTATAACACAACCAGTAGAAGATTAATTCGTTTGTCAGTAGAATTGTAGTTCTTATAACACAACCAGTAGAATATCAATTCGTTTGTCAGTAGAATAGTAGTTCTTATAACACAACCAGTAGAAGATTAATTCGTTTGTCAGTAGAATTGTAGTTCTTATAACACAACCAGTAGAATATCAATTCGTTTGTCAGTAGAATAGTAGTTCTTATTACACAACCAGTAGAAGATTAATTCGTTTGTCAGACGAATAGTAGTTCTTATTACACAACCAGTAGAAGATTAATTCGAAGGGAAAGATGAGACTTGTCAAGTGTTTCTTTTGCTCGACGTTAGGTGGAGGGGGGAGGGTCTTACCTTTGATGGGCTTTTAAGGTAGGAGATATTGATTTTCACAATTCTACGTGTTGTTGACCTTATGTCATAGAAATGACTCAGTCTCAATGCGAGACAAGGGCTGGAGAATTACTTGTTATATAACTTGTAGGAACGAAATCACAAGCTGAAGAAATGATTTTCAGTAATAATAACTCAACAAATATTTAGCGCAAGCTGGAAAACCAAGATTACATAATTTGTTAAACAACTGCTCTTTCAATCATTGTTTACCAGAGTCATTTAGATAGCACACGTCTCCTATAAATACCATTATCACGTCGTGTCTGCCAATTTGATATCCATTATATTTTTATGTATATGTTATATGCTAACATTACTGCAATAATTCATAAAATAACTTGTTCTCCTGGCGTTAAAATCAATGCCTGCTTTGATTTCTCAACTGTATTTTCAGCGTTCAGAAGTATATCTGAAAGAATATAATGTATATGCCATGTAATTGGTGAGTGTTCTGTGGCTGATCAAGGCGCTAATTGGTCCAGGGCAAACTACTCCTGGGTTTTAGATTATTTACACACATACCACGACTAGCTGAAACATTACGTGTTCGATGGTCGTGAGTTTGCTTGTATATCCGATTCAAAAGAAAACGCGAGGTTACTTACTTGGATTGACCAATATGTATATGTCGATGAAGCAAAAGACGCTTACTTTTTCGGAACACATGGTCTTATCCTCCTTTTTCTTTTCCAGGGGTCTCCGAGTAAATATTTCTTGATATGTTGATATTTTTGCTGGTTGTGATTTAACACAGAAATCTCTAACTGTTTTGCTATTGTTCGTTATCAATATTTGCTATCGTTATCAATATTTGCTACTAGTGATCCCGTACATGAAACAAATTTTCATAGACCAACCTAGGCCACTGTACGTGTATTTTTCGGTTTGCAGTTGAGTATGAGATTCTTTTTTCACGTAGCCGATTCTTTTTGTTTGTGTGTTTTTCAAACATGTTAAAACACAAACTAGCTTAACTTAAAACATCCTGCATCTTTTCATTTTTACTCACTTTTCCTCAACCAATTTGTATTATTTTTTATTCGAAAACGGATTCAGCTAAAACTGCTTCTTGTGACCCGTGGACTTCATGATATATTAAGAAATGATCGAGTTTGGTGATCTTCCAACAGACTATTGGTATTCCAAACTGCTTGCCTCTGTTGCCTGACTTGTTTTTGTTTTCACACGAGACTTGCTTTATTGAAGAGCTTATCAAAACAGTTCACAAAACTTAACAATGTAGTTTAATTTTACTTTAAGAAATAATGACTTTTTGTGTTTAAGTAACAAGAAATGTATTGACCATGTCCATCGCAAATAACCACCAGAATTGGAAATCAAAGACACGAAAGACTATTCCACATCTGCTGCTTATCTCGATATTTTCCCACAACGAAACCAACAAGACAGTTTTTCACCAAGCGGTATCATACACACGATGAATTCAATTTCTCTGTTGTGAATTTTCCATTTCTGGATAGCAACATACCAACATCCCCAATCTATCAAGATTTTTGTGTTAGAAGTCGTCAACGGACGGACAAACTCGTAAAACAGGGTTTCAAAAGATGCAGGTTGATGAAAATTTGGTGCTTATTAGGTTGCCTGTTGGTTCCGTTGTTGAATATAGTGTTCGCATTTGAAAACGTGACATTACTTACTTGGATAGACCAAGATTCGCATGGTGGATGTCGTCGATGAAGCAGAAGACGTTTTCTATTCCGGAACACTTGGTCTTATTCTTACACTTTTTCAGGAGTATCCTGTAAATCTTTCTTTTGTTCATAGTTTGCCCTAGTTTTACGAAATTTGAGTTTTGATTAAGAATATGTTGACATGTTTGTTTTCTTGACTTTTTTGTTTCCTGTTTTGTTGGAAACCATTATCAGTTTCTTAAAATCTGTGGGATCAACCAAAAGATGGATAACATTCTTTTAAAAGGAGACATATACGGCGTCAAATATATATATTTTATATTGGGAACTGAATCCTGGTTACTAAATATATTATATTACTTTTAAAAACGTGTATTTTATCACTAATAATGTTGTTACAAATCATACACATGGATGTCAAATTGTTTTGGAGATATGAAGTGATATGAAATCGCGCTTCAAGTTTCTAAACATCAAAAGTGATAATTTAAAGGCATAATTTTGTAGAATTATTTTACTATTGAAAATTCATAAACGCTGTTATTATATTTCATACGAATACGAATATAATTGTAATGAATGGAGTCCCTTTTGAGATATTTGAAAGCTCTGACATTTTACCGTGTCGTGTTAAACGTGGTATAAATCATTTATTCCTGGTGTCGTGTCGCATAAATGGACTAGTTCATTATATTCGCGATCAGCGTAGGTCACGGGAGGCAAAGCGTATAAGAAAGAACGCGCAAATGATAATTAGATCATGGAGTGATAACAGTTTAATTGATATTGTACGTGTTGACCGAAAGACTTTTCAAAAAAAAATGTTTGACCATTACATATGAAGTGTTAATTAACACAGTCAGGGACAGCACATAATATTCTTTCCGCCATCAATTCCTGTTGTCTTCATCATAGTATCATGTGGACTAAATCATCAATACCTGTGGTGTTCATCATCAAATCCTGCGGACCCCGTCATCACTACCTGTGGTTTCCTAATGAGCACTGCCAGTGGTCAGATTAATGATGATCATAAAATCTCTTTGATATAATTTTACTACATTTTATTCTTTCCCTTTGTGATTAAATATATCGGTCATTTATCTGATATACCATTCTACGCACTTTTGCAGCGGCGAAGTGATACTTGTTTTCGTTTTTTGACAAGTGTAAATTCTTCGCAATTTTCTGATTTCTCCCAAATGTACGAACCTAACACGTCCATTACTACCTTTGAACACATTTACATAAAGGTTTTGAAATGTTTCCAATGTGTGAGTCATTTCGCTTTCAAAACCAGTATATCACACGAAAGAATTTAAAGTGAAGAGACTGTAGGTGGAAAGCAACTGGTAAGTTTGAGTTAACTCCCTTCTCGCGCTGTATATTTTTCTATGTGTTCATGGGCATTGATCTTTAATCTTTGTACCGAAGCTGTCGTAATAAAATTAAAATACAAACAGGTGTAAGTTCACTTTAAAACCAACACGTCTTGATTGTATGTTCTGTGATTCATTTGATACGATAAACGGGTTATAAAAGCAAGACATCGACCGGATTTATCGCTACTTTTTGACAGTGTCTGGAATAAAAATACAAACATCAACGTATAACTAGAACTACTGTTCGCATTTTCCAAAGATAACAGTTAGGTGCAACGTTAAAGCTCATCTGATTTTTTAGCCTGTAACACAATATATGGATCTATATTTGACTGGGATGACGTATTATATACAATTTACGAAATTTACTGCATTACTGGGCTAATGCACTTCCCCATCAAAATTTTGAAATTTCTTTCGATCTAGTTGGATTTTATCATCGCTTTCCAGATTTAAAATTTACGAGTTCTAGAAGGGAGAAACAGTTGTATTATACAGCTCAATTCATTATCTGGCGCTTCTGTATCTTATCTAAATTTGTATCAAAATGCGCAATTCACTTGTAGAATCCACTGATGTTCATTGAATGATATTGGGTGTGAAAGAATTGAAGAGTTGATCCCACTTTTATCATAGTAAATCGATATAGATTTTATCAGATTTTTTTTTCATTCAAGACTATTTACAGGCCATATCAAGCAAATGGAAGTCAATTTATCGATTTCATGTTTATATTTACATATTTATTCATAAAAACGAAACTTTGCGTATTATCAGCATATCTAAGGAGGAAGAATTTTGACCACAGGGAAAAAGGTTTATAATATCAAGAGTTCGAGGGGTATATATATTTGTAATTATAGGTCATACCCGGGTAATGTAACGTTATCAAAAGGATAATCGTGATAGTAACAACGGAATATTCAAAAGTACACCAACTGGAGCCAAATTTCAAAAACCCATCAATTATTAATCATTGTTTCGTGTAATCTTTCATTGACAGTAAGCGACAGAAGCGGAAGGTTCCCAGTAACGTCGCTAGGTTGGGTGTGTTTCTAATTCGTTCAGTTATTCATACGAACTCATGTTACAAACAGACGGACATATGTTTGGCTCTGTTTCAACAGACCCAATGGCTGCATGAAAAAGTCATCGTTTGTGTCCTAAATTCTGCGGTGTTTATTTCAAATAGATGAATACACTGCCTATTTGACAATATTTATAAACAGTTTTATTTTCATAAGAGGCATATCATTTAACAATTAACAATATCACAGTGAAAACGTTTTTGTTGTGTTGCAGGCATACGCGTTTGGTTATATGAACAGTGCGTGCAATCCCATTATCTACGCTTGGCGGTTCCCGGAGTTCCGGCAGGGCTACAGGGATATACTCTGTAAGAAGCCACAATATACATTCGCCATTGGTATGTGTACTAACACTAATCTCGTGAGGAATGAAAGGGCTAATTGTACGAAAAAATATTTGAAATTTTTAAATTCAATTTATATATTAAAATTAAGATAACACAGACAAATTAAAAACAATTAAAAAAAACGCCATTCTGAAATGCTGTCTTTTTTTCCTCCGAAATTTTCGTATAACGCCCTTTCATTCATTTTTCTCCTGAGAGAATTCTTATTTACTTTTTAGACTAACTCATCTTTTGTTTAATTGCAATAAAAAAAATTAACCGCATATTTCAAATGATAATATAACTCCGAGATTTGTTGTCATTTCTAATAGTGTTAGGACCGGGATTAGGAACCTTACACTAAAAAGGAAGAACGGTGGTTAAGAACATTCTTAGAACGTGTGTCTTGCTAAAGACTTTTTATCATATCTAACCTTATTAAAATATATGCCAATTAATTTTCTTGAAAATTATTCATTGTGTGAAATGTTTATCATGGTCTGTTACAATGACATTATACACCTGAAAATTTATGCCTAAATGACAAATGAAAATTAACTTCCGCGAAAAACTATTCACCAACAAGTCGATAGATAAAGTCAAAGTCAGTAACATGAAGCACAATCGAGAAAATTAAAATGAAGTACATTTTAAACGTTTTGGAGATCTCAGGTAAAAATAATAAGAAAGACGTCCAGTCAGAATTTAAAGTATAACGCTGTGTGCACATTTTTATCTAGAAATTTCAAGTTACCATAAAAACACTAACACACGGTTTTCAATAACAGACATAAATTTGTTTATATAATCTTCCAAAATGCAATATTTCCATATAAGTTAAAACGATAATCAGGTAAAATCGCTCAGTCTATTGGGGATTGGGGATGGGATTGCCGATTGGGGAACAGGCCTAAAGTAGAAGTGAAAATGTATATATATATTTTTTTATTATTATTATTATTTTCACTCCACCCCTTCTTTTTATCATTTTCTCCCCCTCTCCCCCTCTCATTCCCTTTTTATCATTTTCTCCCCCTTTCCCCCTCTCCCCCTATCATCCCCTTTTTGTCATTTTCTCCCCCTCTCCCCCTCTCATCCCCTTTTTTATCATTTTCTCCTCCTCTCCCCCTCTCATCCCCTTTTTATCATTTTCTCCCCCTCTCCCCCTCTCATCCCCTTTTTTATCATTTTCTCCTCCTCTCCCCCTCTCATCCCCTTTTTATCATTTTCTCCCCCTCTCATTCCCTTTTTATCATTTGACTTCTCGATCTATCCTGCAAACAATTTTTCTTTAACAACAACCATTACTTAACTATAACTAAGCGAAATGTGTAGTAGATATGCAGTTTCTATGTTACCAAACTGATGCCGTCTGAAACAGCTATAAGATCTTTTATTGTAAGCAGTACTTTAACCTTATAAGCTATCGAATGGTTTGTTTGCGTTTGATGCCTTTCTGTGAATGTCCTTTTCGGCACTGCTCAACCAATAAGGACTCCACGAATCAGTGATCTTTATATCAATACAACATAACACGATACTAGACTGTGCCTACTGAGCTAATGCACCTTCCCATCTACATCATGGCATTGCTCTCAATCAGTTTTGTCTTTCCTTAGGCGCTTCCTAGGCTTCAAATTTTAGGCCCTTAGCATCACTGACGAGACCTAGAAGGGCGAGACAGCTGTATGATGCAGTTTTAAGTCATTGCTTGGCTCTACTGTATCTTAATCTTAACATGTATTGAGAGGTAATATTCAATAGGTTTTAAATAATTAGTTTGCCAGAACTTACCTAGTTTTAAAGTTTGTATTGATAGGTGTTAATCATTTGTGTGCCTTTTGTGTAACCGTCTGTTTACGGATTATCTCCTCACCAGGAAAATGCATTGAAATTGTTCAGGGTTTCTTTAAATGTGCAATTGTGTGTCTTCTGTGCAATTTTTCAGTATTTTTTGTTTAATTATTCATATTGGAAGTGAGACCACATTTACCATATTTAACACCATTATTCATACAAAGCGATTTCGACGTTAATTTTTTCTGTTGATGATCTCAATCATTATGTCATTATCGAATATTGCCAAAGACAACGCCGTCTATTTGTTTGATATATATATATAAAGCAACGCCGTCTATTTTGTTTGATATAGATATATAGCAACACTGTCTATTTGTTTGATATAGGTACATAGAAACACTGTCTATTTGTTTGATATAGGTACATAGAAACACCGTCTATTTGTTTGATATAGGTACATAGAAACACCGTCTATTTGTTTGATATAGGTATATAACAACGCCGTCTATTTTTTAGGTATAGATATATAGCAACACCGTCTATATGTTTGATATAGGTACAAAGCAACACCGTCTATTTGTTTGATATAGATATATAATTTGATGGCATATTTTACCGAAGGAAGTGTCTTGTTTAATTGCATCATCTAGGCAGGACTGCACTAATGATGTACAATTTTATAAAGTATATCATTAACAATTTCGAATCTAATTGAGTTACCTTACATTTTTAATAGTATCATATTACGAATATTCCAATTATTATTAAAAAGGGGTTGCATAATCTCCCATTTAATTGAGTCTAAGGTATTCATATTTTAGATAATTTTTCCTGTCACTACTTAGCAGTTTACTAACATTATGTGGCCGTAAGAACTCGATATTATAACGTTATCATAAGTTATATAAGTTATACCCGTTATGTCGAAGTTTGGTTGAATAACATAATAATTATATTGTTCGCACTCAGTACTATAATAACCATTGCTTCGCCGTATAGTGTAATCGCGTTCATGGTAAAATAGCGCTTGGTACACTTACATTGCTTATGTCGAGATAGAGTGAAAATACTATTTTATGTCTTTAAATGGTAAAATAACTCTCATTATGTCGATATTTGTCTGAATAACATAACTTTTGAAGGCATGTGATCAACAACACATACTGTGTCTACATCTACTAAAAATGACATCAACTAGTGGTAGAATAACACTCACTATATTAATACGTCACAATAACAGTAACATCCATTGTTTACCTGGTGTGTTAATTAAAAAAAATGCTGTGCTACAAGGAATTTAATGTGACAGCATAAAAATTTCAATTGATGCAGTTATTACAACAAAAAGTGACATTTAGATCCGTGTTGATATACCTTTTTCAAACATACTCAAGGTGTCTCCTTTGACTACTTGTGGTGGATGTGGATGTTTTACATTTTCTAAAAAAAATATTTTTGTTTACCACGTCACATCCCCCACCCCGTTTTATTATTAGTTTAAATACTGATATATGGTGACTAGTTGACATTAAGAGTGCTTGTATGAAAGCCGTAACAGTCTTCGTAAGTAAAATATATGAACAGTTGTGTTGCTATGGTGATTTTAGGACCACTTGGTAGGCCAGTAGTGACGACACGGAAGAAACAAGTTCGATCTGTGTCGGCATGTACAACAATTTCCAACTCAAGCAACATTGGAAACACGCGCACTGCGGGTTCCAACGGCAGCGTTGGCAACGGTAACCCGAATATTGTCATTGCACGTGGTGTTGTGTGGTTTGCATAGTTTGGATTTTGATGTTATGCATATTTTCAGTTGATAAATTTTTCAGTTTTTTAAGATGTACCACCGATTTTGCTCAGTAATTTTTCACTACATCAATTTATACAAAGATATCAAGATGCCCCCCATTCAAGTAGACTTGATTGACTTTCCTTTAAAATATTTCACTCTTTATGTTCCAAACTTGAAAGCTGGAAGGATTATTTCACATTCCCTATGGTATAGACATTCGCTGAACAAGATCTTTTAATTGTTTACAGATCTTAAGACTCTGCTATTTACGACAAATTACAGCTTGTGATTAAACAATTGTATTTTGAAGTGCGTTGTTAATTTCCCCGTGTGCCAGTACCGTTGAAGATTCCTTAGACCTTATCATAATAACATTCTATCCACTTTTTAATCTCGGTCTCGAGTCGATGACCGTCAAACTTAAACCACACAAAAAGATCGGACAATGCGCGATTCACGCCTGGGTCGGCTTTCAGGCGATAGTTGTGTAAAGATATCGTCACACAGATACGAAAAGTGTTTATTTATTTTACATTTTTCCCTTTTAACCCTGTTTTAATTTCCTCTTGTGTTAGTCACGTCACTTCTAGTCATATGGTTAGTGTCTCGCCGCTTCTTGTACATGCGGAGAAGTTCAGACAAGATTGGAAACAACATTTTCTTCTCCAACTCCACTATACGTTTGCGGCTCATATGCAGTAGATGACGTCATCATATTAAGATAGCGACTATTCAGTTTTTCATGCAGGGTTTTAAAAAAAAAAGTTATCGAAAGACAGCAAGTTTTGGAAATAAAATAAAGCTAAGAACACATGTATATTTCTGGTCGCGTTTATGTTTGAAATAATGCACTTAATTAATATATGGAATTTCTGCAATGCGAAATCTCGTCAAATCATGTGGTCAAGCTGTTACCCCATTTTCCATTACAAAATATGTGAATTCATATCTGTTCTAAATTTAGAAACATGCCATAGGTGTGAACTGATAGACATTTCGATCCGTGTGCGGCAATTATCATTTAAAGACCGACATAGGCGCGGGTCCCTTCTTTTCCGCACGGAGTTCTGAGTTCATCGACTCATGACAGAAACTAAAAAGATTATAGAATGCCTGAATAATTTGATTTCTTATTTAATTAGCCATTTGATATTGTTAGTAACGAAAACAAACAAAGTCACATTTCTTGGCATGATGAGATGTTTTGTTTTTATGTTTGTGTTATTTTCGCCAAGAAGAGGAATTCTATCTTATGTATATTTACTACAATAATACATTTTAGTGGTCAGGCATGCCTGGCATTATTCTCTGGTTAGCAATTTTTTTGTTTTGTTTGTTTGTTTGTTTGTTTGTTTTGTTTTTTTTTTGTAAATATGACAAATAGGCATTTTAAAAATTCCAAGGATTTTCAAATATTTTCAATCTATTTGATTAACACACAATATCTTAAGTTTTAGTTATATGTGTATATTTGTTGAATCTGATATATTTAATGTGCATGCGATTTAGTTTTCATAGTTATCGTGGTCTTGGACGAGTTATTTACCTTCACTGAAACTTGTGCTCCGGGGTTAAAAAAGTAATAACTCTCGTCAATACATCGCGATATTTCGAGGAGGGCAAATGACGTAGTATGAAAGTGGACTTTTTGTATGAAAATTATTTTAAAAAATAATTTTTTGAACTTCTACAACTATTTTCATCAATAAACAGTTCCTGTTGTAGTGAGATGGTAAAGCTAGAAAGACACACTGCAAACATCACTAAGAAAATTTAGTCCATTAAACGGAACTGATCGGCTCTAATTCCAATTCATCAGGACTGCATGTTTACAGAACATACCATAATCAAAGTCGGTATCAATGCAGAGTGTACCTCACGTGCTGAACCATATACATATGTATGACAGCACTTTTAAATATGGATATTAGTGTCCTGTTACACTTTATAATTCATTAACTAAAACGCCTTCTTGATATTTAGCACCGTTTCAATTTTACGACACGCGTCTCTGCATGTTGATTTTATTATTTTTTTAAATAAAGTTTCTTTGTTAAAAGTTGAAAAGTTGATGAAATCGAAATAAATTCTAGATTTTAACGACGAGACAACAGCTATAACTTTGTATTTTCAAAATGAATGCATGTATTTGATGAGTATCGTATGTGGTTTTATTTCTCTCATACGTTTGTGTTGTAACTTTAGAGTGTCTGTTTTATCATAATCACATAATCACGGTATTTTTTCATGTTCTGCAGTTGTATCATTTTTGTTTGTTATGATTTGAAATCGGAAAGAAGAAAAAAAACATTTCATATTACCTATTTTTCGATCATTACTGATGTCTAAACTGCTTAAAGTTTACCGTTTATTCATAAGCAATAATAAATTAATTTTAATATAGATCTATTTAATTAATTCATCAATCAGTTTATTTATTTATCACCAGTAACCATTTTTGACGTTAAAACTATCTCATCGTTTATTATATACCTCCATGGCTCATATCTGATATGTTATTATATAATGGAACATCTTTTTAAAAAATGAGCACATGAGATTCATGAATCTTTTAAACTGTTTATCAAGATCAACAAAACTATATACACGCACGAATTTTCAATTAAGGTTGCTGTTGAATGTATAGAAAACAATTTTATTACATTCAGCATACACTGATATATTCATATTTCTTACGTAAGTTTTTTTCCCTGTTAACAGATGTCACTATCCCTTTGTGTTTTTCGAACAGTTTTTTTACAGATCAAGCTGATAATTTCTAAACATGCATTTCTGATTTCAGTCCATCTACAAGTTTAACTGTAACACGACTGTCAACAGTATGTCAAGGTATTGGAGAAGTTTGGTGTTTATTTCTTCTGTCACGTGACATTTCTTTCTCCTCTGATGACCCTCGTGACATTTGTAATGAATATAAATGGTTTTCTATCACTGCTTCTTTAACCAGTTAACCCCTACGATTTTAATACCTCATGTTTTGTTTTCAAAGAAAATATTCAGTCCTTTTCAAAACTATCCTGAAGCGTAAATAATTTTGTTGAAATTTATCGTTAGAAAACAATTATATATTTATTAGTGTCACATATGTCCATATATTATATTATCCTTTCTTGAACAGAAAATATTACGAAGATCAATTAAACATAATGCTTCATGGATATGCGTTTATTCATTATTCAAGTTTGCGTTCGTACAAATAAACTATGATGATTTTAGTTGGCGAACAAAATCTTGTCATTGTTAAAGATGTCGTGTGATTAGCATACCAAGAATTATGAAAGTTTATTTTCATTAAGCTGATGTTTTATTTCGTTGTAATGGAAAAAGTACAAAATGAAAATAAAGTTTAGGGAAAGAACAGAAAATTAAGAGAACAATTCAAGAAAATCTATACATAATGTTACTATTTTTATCACAATACTTCAACAACGTTGTTTTTAGATATATTGAAATATTTCCATGTATTTCCGTAACGGCATTTTGATGTTGTGGTTTTTCTGCAGTGTTATTCGTAAGAATTTACAAAATATTGACTCCTCGCATTTCTGTGTTTTCTTGTCGATTTCAGCTCTCATTATATATAATTTACTTCTCTCCTATGTTCTGTTGTATGTGTCTGTTTGTTTTCACTATTTGTCGGTGTGTTTGTGTGTGTCATTTGACGCCGAATCTGTTAACAGAAACAACCGTCAGTTGTGATGATATTCATACAATTAATATCACTATGAGAGCCTTACATATGTGTCTAAAATATGAGAAATGTTTTCAAACTATAGTGCTACTTTGTTTGAACCAGAAAATCGAAAACCATAAGTCTTCATATTTTGATGTGAAAGAGTGTTGTATTTCATATTTGACTTGCGGATATGCAGATATTTCCCAACAAATTGGAAAGCAAACACGTTTATCAAATTCCAAGTACAAATGAAATAATGAAAGTTTTCCTTTACAGTCTGTATGATTGCTTTAGAGTCACGTGACCTGTTATATATTTCTAATCACTGTATATTGTAATACTGCATGCACTTTTCTTTGTGCCATTTATAAGAAGTTTGATGAAACGCATGATGTCATCTTAACCTATGTGAACGTGTTAGTTATTGGATTTCATATTGCTTGATGAGAAAATAAAATTGTTATTCAAATATCAAAAGGATTTTAAATAACTGGGTTTATTGACTTCTCCGTTGTCAAGGAATTTCATGAAAATTTCACGTTGATATTTAGCTCCTTTTTTTATTGCATCAGCTTTTTCTATTTATATCCAAAGATTTCAACCACAAAGTTTGACATTATTTTCCTTTGTCATGAAAATGTATCATTATAGTATAGACTTGTTTTGTATGTTTATATAGATTTTGTTTCCCGGTGACATAAATTGATTCCAAATTTGCTAATATTTGCAAATTTAAAGAGATACGACTTTTTTTAATGCAAATTTCCATTTTGTACTTTGGGAGATTCTTGTCAACGCATAAGCCTTTGTTTCATATCTTTGTCTACTCAGTGTTTATGTACCCTCATATCAAAATTTATATATAAAAAGATATTCCAATTGTTCGCAGAAGTAGAAGGATAATGACATTGTCAAGTGTAGTAATATTTTTGTTGATGTCTATATATTGTAGATAAGATGAAAGAACAGCGTCAGTCTAAAGAGGTAGAGCTACATCACATTGATAATGAAAGGGACTCAGTTTTTCTACATGGTGACGAAACTAAAGAGTTCCTGCAAGGGCACAAAGCCACTTAGATGTCGTCCTATCAACTGGCTGTTCTACCAAACCACGTGACCAATATATTTGTGTTAGCACGGTAAACCAGCTCAGAGACTGCAGCTTGTTATTTGTTGTACATATTTTATAAACAAAAAACAGCAGAGAAAAGAAATGTTGTCGAATGGTCATTTATTAAATGACAGGAACATTTCAAATACAACCATAATATCAATCACTGTTGTTATATAACATATAGATCTGAATGACATTAACTTCAGTCTATATGTACAACAAAAAGATGGGGTACAAATTATCGGCACCGATGAGGGGCGCAAGATACATATGCATGGAGGGATATATGATATATAGAAAAATGCACCTCATCACCCCATCCAAAGGATTGTAGATAAGATGAAAGGACAGCGTCAGTCTAAAGAGGTAGACCTACATCACATTGTTAACGAAAGGGACTCATTTTTCCTACATGGTGGCGAAACTAAAGAGTTCCTGCAAGGGCACAAAGCTACTTAGATGTCGTCCTACCAACCGGCTGTTACACCACACCACGTGACCAATATATATATATATGTACACATGATAACGAGATCGTTGCAGATCTAACTATTAGTATTTGAATTCATTTGACAACCGTGCAATTTTAATCACCATTATCCACGCAATAATTTATATCATAACTCTGTTTTCTGTGATATGAATTTAATACGACGATAAGATAACTGTACTTTGTTTAAATCAGGTTGTCCATTGCATGAACTAAAACGAGCCCTAAGTGTAAACATATGATTAAATTTGCCGTTAACACTTTGATGATTTTTACTGTGTAACCAACTTCTGTTCATCAATATGGTGACATATAGTGAGTGTATTTCAGGAGATGTAAAATTGTACAATGCGGAAAGATTTCGAAACTTGTCATTGTTGCTTTGTTTACATAGTTAAAATCAAGGCAGCAAGAATGTATTAAAATATTTATTCTCTTACATAATATTTGTATTTTTAGTTGCAACTAATTCTGATTTCAATACTATATCTAAATTATTGAATCGGAGTTCTTCTATCTCACAAAACACAATACAATGTCGACTAAGTCAATTTCGCACATTTTCTGACGATCTGCTACCGTAGTGTTGGGCCCGTTTAACGTAACATCTTGGGAGGAAATAGAAACAGTGATATACATGGAAGTATTTTAATGTATAGTCCTCTTGATGAAATACTTTTTTTTTCTTTTATCAGTTAAAAATGGAGAGTTTCATTATCCGTTTAGAGATGCATTTTTCTTATTTTCTAATAATTTATTTTTTAAAAATTTCAAGAACATACCAACATGGCAACAAAATCATAATTCAAACTCAAATTCCACAAAGCTAGGGTACAAAATATAAACAAAATAAAGATTTACACGGAGACTCCTGAGAAAGTATAAGGAGAATAAGACCAGGTGTTCCGGAAGAGAAGGCTCTTCTGCTTCATCGACGACACCCGCCATGTAAACCTTGGTCAATCCAAGTAAGTTTTGTGCCGTTCTCAGATGAGAACAAGGTACACAACAACGGAACCAACCGACAAACTAACAAGCATCCAGCATCTTGTCACACAACGAAATAGATCTTAATGAGATCACTATATCGACACCCATACTTTCATCAACCTGCATCTTTTGAACCCTTGTGTTACGAGTTTGTCCACCAGTTTACGACTGATAATGGGAACAGGACCTTAAATGTCGAATCAACAGATACACTTTCAAATTTCATTGACCATTCCCAAGATTTACACTTGTGTTGAAAATATATTTTGTAATCTAACAACAGAACTATTGATAAGAAGAAAGGTTTCGCTGTAGGTTATATATATATATTGTTAAATCGAACTCCTTGTCTCTATAACATCGGCCTAGGCTTTACTCCGGTGATCTTCGCTTGATACATTTCATACTACATCATACTGTTAAATCATTAATTTTCGAGAGGCTTGAAATTCGTTGATTTCATGGTAAATACACTTCACCCATCACATTAAATGCCCGCAAAATGATAAACCAATAAACATTCTATTAGGATTTCGTGAGTAAAGTTTCTTCTTGGTATCTACTGCTAACAAAAAAAAACTTTTTGTAAAAACCACAAATTGTATGAGCCCATCGAAAATGAATGACTTTGCAGTATTGCTTTTTTCAGTTACTGTATGATAATTATGATAATTTATGATAATTATGAATAGTGCTGCAATAAACGTGATTTTAGTAAATATAATTTTGTCCGCGTCTTTTTTCTTCCTCGGCTGATAAACAATTGTTTACACGTGCTATTTAAAAAATGAGGTCAACAGATATTATTGACCAATGAAATGATGATGAAATAAATTCTGGTATGAATTAAGAGATTATTGTGCTGTCTGAAAGTTAAATTATTTTGGTACAAAATTTAAAAATAATTATTAAAGTGTAAAAAAAACTTCTTGTATTTTTAAATATGTGATAATTTTACATAGCAAGGTCATTTTCTTGTTATTTTCTGTTGCTTAAAGGGACCAAAAATCAACGATAAAAAGAAGAAACGCTACCCACCCTTATATGTAGACATGATTGATATACAAGGGGGTTTCTAAGACGCCATTGACAAGACAAGACATTATGTGAGAGTGACGCCTTCTATGTTAATCTGTCACAGTCAGTATCTTCTATATCACAGAGAGAAATGACAGCGAAACTGATAAGAAGGAAGCGTTGATCTTCGTAAATTAGAACAAAAAATCTGTTTACCATTATAATAGATAGTGTTCACATAAATGTCTATCTATACAACCTAGCTATAAATAGTCCACTTTATCAGGAGCAAGCAATTGTTTTTTCAATTAAACTACAAGATGTGAACAGAAATCAGTATGTTTTTACCCTTAATAGCATCAGTTTTTTGGTTATATAATTCTTCCGGTATAGTATGACAATTCAATCGACCTTGTCTCTGTTCCGACAATGTGTATAAAGTAAAAGCTATCATGAAAATATAAAATAACAAATTTAAATATAAGGGTTGTTAGAAGTGTGACGTTCCGATAACTGCAAGGTCACCTTCATCTTACAACAAAACCAGTAGAAGATTAGAGTGTGACGTTCCGATGACTACATGGTCACCTTCATCTTTTAACACAACCAGTGGAAGATTTGAGTGTGACGTTCCGATGACTACATGGTCACCTTCATCTTATAACACAACCAGTGGAAGATTTGAGTGTGACGTTCCGATGACTACATGGTCACCTTCATCTTATAACACAACCAGTGGAAGATTAGAGTGTGACGTTCCGATGACTACATGGCCACCTTCATCTTACAACAAAACCAGTGGAAGATTTGAGTGTGACGTTCCGATGACTACATGGTCACCTTCATCTTATAACACAACCAGTAGAAGATAAGAGTGTGACGTTCCGATGACTACATGGCCACCTTCATCTTTTAACACAACCAGTAGAAGATAAGAGTGTGACGTTCCGATGACTACATGGCCACCTTCATCTTTTAACACAACCAGTAGAAGATAAGAGTGTGACGTTCCGATGACTACATGGTCACCTTCATCTTTTAACACAACCAGTGGAAGATTTGAGTGTGACGTTCCGATGACTACATGGCCACCTTCATCTTACAACAAAACCAGTGGAAGATTTGAGTGTGACGTTCCGATGACTACCTGGTCACCTTCATCTTATAACACAACCAGTAGAAGATAAGAGTGTGACGTTTCGACGACTATACGGTAACCTTCATCTTATAACACAACCAGTAGAAGATTAGAGTGTGACGTTTCGATGACTACATGACCACTTTCATCTTATAACACAACCAGTGGAAGATTTGAGTGTGACGTTCCGATGACTACATGGCCACCTTCATCTTACAACAAAACCAGTGGAAGATAAGAGTGTGACGTTCCGATGACTACATGGTCACCTTCATCTTTTAACACAACTAGTGGAAGATTTGAGTGTGACGTTCCGATGACTACATGACCACCTTCATCTTACAACAAAACCAGTGGAAGATTTGAGTGTGACGTTCCGATGACTACCTGGTCACCTTCATCTTATAACACAACCAGTAGAAGATAAGAGTGTGACGTTCCGATGACTACATGGTCACCTTCATCTTTTAACACAACCAGTAGAAGATTAGAGTGTGACGTTCCGATGACTACATGGTCACCTTCATCTTACAACAAAACCAGTGGAAGATAAGAGTGTGACGTTTCTGTGACTACACGGTCATCTTCATCTTATAACACAACCAGTAGAAGATAAGAGTGTGACGTTTCTGTGACTACACGGTCACCTTCATCTTATAACACAACCAGTAGAAGATAAGAGTGTGACGTTCCGATGACTACATGGCCACCTTCATCTTATAACACAACCAGTGGAAGATTAGAGTGTGACGTTTCGATGACTACATGGTCATCTTCATCTTTTAACACAACCAGTAGAAGATTAGAGTGTGACGTTTCGATGACTACATGGTCACCTTCATCTTACAACAAAACCAGTAGAAGATAAGAGTGTGACGTTCCGATGACTACATGGCCACCTTCATCTTATAACACAACCAGTAGAAGATAAGAGTGTGACGTTCCGATGACTACATGGCCACCTTCATCTTATAACACAACCAGTAGAAGATTATAGTGTGACGTTTCGATGACTACATGGTCACCTTCATCTTATAACACAACCAGTAGAAGATTATAGTGTGACGTTTCGATGACTACATGGTCACCTTCATCTTATAACACAACCAGTAGAAGATAAGAGTGTGACGTTTCGATTACTACATGGTCACCATCTTCAGACAAGCGACAATGTGTTTTGGAAGAGTAAGCATTTTCTGCTTCATTGGCGGCACCCACCATGCAGAAACCCATTCAGCAAAATTCTGTAAAAGTTGTCTCCCTTAGTCTGTAAATTTCTTCAACGTTTCGTAATTTCCTGTTTCCCCTTAAACCTGTTTTAAGAATATAGAAAATAGTTAAATCACCAGTTCAAGAAGACCTTTGAGTTAAAAAACAGGTTATGAATATGAAAGAAATTTATGTAAAAAACAAAACAAAACAAAAAAATAAATAACAGAAGGGGTTATATAATCATTTTAACAATAGCCTAATAAACACCGTCTTGTTTCTCCATGACGAGCCAGGAGGTCAAAAATATTTCTTACACTCAATGTTAAAACATCAATTTAAACATAGTTTAATATTAAATATTGTTAAACTGACCTTTGTATCATTGACATTCGACCAAACTGAATCAGCTAGTTTTGGCGTGCAGTAATATCAGTCAGCATAGCCACGAATATCCATGGTTCCTCATGCATTTTTCTCGAAGGACAATTGATTCTGTCATTCAAAAGATAACAAAATATTGTATTAAAGGCGGTAATGACTTGTCTAGCTTGTTAAATTATTCTTTTAACTAACAAATATTATTTTAACTGATACTGTTTCAGTATTGATACAAGATTCTATTTATCAGTTATAGTAATGATAAATAAAAATTGACTTTCAAAACATATTTTTTTACAAGGATTGAAGCCGCGCATCACAGCATGTTGAATCACATTAACTTAATTTTCTATAAATTTCACAAATTCAAATATTTACTCGACAGACACTCGAAAAATTAATCACCCTTTTTGTTCTCAAACTGAAATATCATATCATGAAAACGGAGATGAAATTCCCTTCGCATACCATCTTTTGATTCATTCGAATAGTGGCGTAGTTCACGATATACACGAGTATTTCACGTTATTTCAGAATAATTTGATAATGGTAAGGATGGAAGTATTGAATTTTGTGTTACTGCCCATCGCCATCTGATTTTGACTTGAACTTCACAAATTAAAATGTTGTCTTCAAGATTTCAAAAATTCAGACCTTTAACATTACAGACATTAAATCAGATTGGAAGCAGTTTGATTTAGCATTTGGCTCTGTTGTATCTACTTCTAAATTTTGCATTGAAAAGTGCGATTCACTTGTGTGTCGTTTGTAAATCTACTTTCGACCCTCATTCTCTCTGTTGTTAAGCGATTAACAACAACATGTTTTTTTTCAAAATTATTAATTTTAAACAACATTTCAATATAAAGGATCCTTATTGGATTTCCATTTCAAATATCTTGTAAAAGAAACGAGCATGAGAAGTTTCATGTTTGCGAGCTTTAATGGGACAAAAAAAAAGTCGAGACGACTTTCTAAATCACACATGAAATGAAAGAAGAGAAAAGTGCCACCACACAACTCAGAAATGTTGCATTTGAAATAAGTTTTAAAGTAAGCAAGGGGGTCACCACATGGAGGCAGTCATTTCTATGTACCATTTTCAATTCAAGACGTCACGTGATTGTTCACATGATCATGTCACAATCGATTTCTGAAATCACAACCGAATGAAAAACGCTATAGGGTATATACCATCAGTGAAATATTCGCAAAACATTTCATGAGCGAATACTGGATAGCAGGACGAAAGATATATACCACTTATCTCTCATTCATTCTTAGATCTGATCTAGCAAAAACATAAAAATACATTTTTTACAATCAGTACGTAATCTTGAGAAATTGTACAAAAGACATACAAGTGAATAACTCTGTTCAATACAAATTTAGAATTAAATTTAAATATATATAAGCTTTATTTATTTCACAACAACTGCGAAACAAGCAAGCAGCTTGTATAAATCACTCTTGTTGACTCGGATGAAAAGCATGCGAGGGGTTTTACCATTGGAATAAACTGGAGGACCCAGAGAATACCCACGTGGTCGCCCACGTGGTCGGGCAGGTGATCGCCTTACCTTTTACGTCCGTTCTAGGAATCGTACCCTGAACGGCTAGGTGAAAGACGAATGCGTTACCATTGCGCCACCCGACCACCAACTTTAGAATTAGATACAGAGATAGCAAAATAACGATTGAAGCTGTATCGTGCGGACCTTTTCTCCTTGTAGGACTCGTCAGTTATACTTAGTAGCAGACAAATGAGAAAAAACAAAATTGATTTTCAGAGACATAAATAAAAATATTTACTTCAAGGTTGGAACATTAATTTTATCTTAAAAATGACAATATTGTAAGCAAACACTAGTTGTTTTCTTAACATGTCCGAATTCACAGAAGTGCCCATCAATCTGAGACAAGGGTTTTGTATTCTTGACTGCCTATCATTGCTAACATTTTAAAGAACGCAACACATT